ATAACTAATTATAATGATAATCATAATTATAATAATGATGAAAGTAGTTGTAGATGTTGTAGTATTAGTAGTAAAAATGATAAAGATAACGATTGTTATAATGTTGAGAATCATAATAAAATGGATTATTAGGATGAAGATAATAAGAATAAAAATGATTTCAATAATAATAATATATGTGCATCATAATGATAATAACGATAATAATAATGACAATAATGATAATGATGACGATAATGATGATAATAATGATAATGAAAGTAATAATCATAAGCATGATAATGATGTGATGACAATAATAATAGTAATAATTATAAGAATAATGATAATGATGATGATGATCATCATCATAGTAATGTATTATGAATAGCAATGATTATGAAGAGGTTGTCGATGATGATGATAATAATGATGATGGTGATGAGGAAGAGGGTGACGATGATGATGATCATAATAACAGTGATAATTATAATAATGATAATGATAATGATAATAATAATAATAATAGTAACAGCAATGATAATGATAATAATAGTAATGATAATAATGACAGCAGTAATGATTTTGATTATGATAATGATAATAATAATGAAAATGATAATGAAAGTGAGGATAATGCGAATGATTATGCTGTTATTGATGGTGGCTATAATAATAGCAATATTGATAAATGGTAATATTTGTAATGATAATTATAATAATACCGCCTTTCATACTACTACTAATAGTAATGATAATAATAATGATAATAATAATAATAATAATAATAATAATAATAATAATAATAATAATAATAATAATAATAATAAAAGTACTACTAAAATTACTATTAGCAACCACTATTACTGCTACTAATAATAATTATAATAATGATAACAATAATGATAATTATTTTTATTATCATAATAATAATAATAATAATAATAATAATAATAATAATAATAACGATAACAACACCAACAGCAAAGCAACAATACTGGTATTATGACAATTATAATGATATTGATAACAGTTATGAGGAGAACAAAGAAAACTGATGAGAATTATGTATTCATTGACACATATTTGCTTGTGAAGAATGCCATATCAGTACTTTGTCCTATCTACTGATGAGAAATATTTTTTTTCTTTTCAGTTGGTTTACAAAGTATCAGTAGTTTACTGAATACCTTATATATATATATATATATATATATATATATATATATATATATATATATATATATATATATATATATTATATATATATTAAATAGTAATGAATCTGTTCTGAAATTATTAGATATTTTGTTCCTTCGACGATAACTCTTGTATTTATATTTATAGCTATATTTCTACATCTAACTCAATGTTATTTAGATTACTGAACTTTGAACAAGATTTACCAACCTCATGGGTAATAAGTCCACTCATCTGTCCAATTCTGAACAAATTGTTTATCAACGATTCTAAAGAGACCAAGTTCAGCTGAAGTCGGCTGAGTAATATAACACAGTATGTGATTTAGAAAACATCCTTAATTTCTGAATACCCTTCGCCTACGTTGCCTTGTGGAATACTTTAGGATCATCGTGGAAGCGTCCTTTCACTGCCTTTACAATATTATTTGTTTGTTTGTCTCGTGAATCAAATAACATACCATTCTTAGTAAGGAATGCGTCATTGGGGGATTGGAATTTACCGATTCTGTCAGATGACTCAACCGAGGTCAGAAATATCGGCGGTCAGTGATTGAAGTTCGTGGAACTTGTAACATAAAAGTTTTTATTCGGTAGAGACGGTTTCCCTCCCCCCTCGTGGGAGCAATACTACTTAAAAATATGAAATATATAGTTACAATTGTGTGCTTACAACAGACACTGACTCTTGAATTATACAATGTTCGAACTAAGAGAGTTTCAATATGATTTATTAGTGTTGGTGTGAAATTGCTTATCCGGTATTTTTCCCCAACCCCCTCAAAAAGCTGATTATCTCACATTTATACCTTGATACATACATCAGACGTCTATGTGTATAGGTGCTTCTACTTGATTGTTCCACTTCAAATAGAGATTCGTGCACAGAAGCTTTCATTTGCGCTTTTTCTTTATTATGAAGCCCTAATTAACCTCAAATAATTCTTTGAACAAAGTACAGGGTTACTGCTATCCCCTACATAATCCTTTTGTAACAGATAACCCTTCATACAATTAAACATTATTATTATTATTTTTTTACGAAATTTGTTACTGGCTTAGCCAGATAAAGAGACACGTGAACTACTAAGCATGCTTACATTTTGTTTTTCTGAGACCTTTCTGTCAGTCGTGGAACTTCCATCCGAGTGCTCTTCTCTCTCGTTTCTTCCCACTATATTAAGATTTTCCATTGTGTACCTCTAATGTGAAGAAGAAAAAAAATCGTCTTACAACAGTTAAATTCGATACTCGTTTCCTCATAAATAGCAGTCTACACAGAACACCAAGCTCCTGGGATGCCAGTGGCCGTCAAACGCATAACAAATATGAGAGAATATCATCCTGCTACAAGAGAGATCAAAGGAATTTTCTCCTCTATCCTCCAGCCTTTGTGGACTGTCGGCGCCAGTCTGCGACGGTTCCTGGGAGTTTTATGACTTGAAAGACTTCTCCTGTTCAATGCCTTGTTCCTCACTGTATCCAATAACAACCGGGTTATAGCGGCTTCTGTCGTATCTTCGTCAAGATCTCCGTCTACAGCCCTCGTCCGACCATCCCTTCCCCTGAACCATGGTGTCTTCTGTAGGGTTGGGAATATTGTATTATCTCTGGTATACATATGATTATTTCTCCTCAAATTCCTAAACTAATTCACTCAAATAGTGATTCAGTATACATATGTACAAAAATACATACAAATATAAATGTATATGTATATATATATACA